AGGAGAGGATTCGTGACTTCTTTTAGGGGATCTGCCGACTTATATTCTGTATAATCCTGCTATCTCTCGCTGCTACACGGAGGTTTTGTTGTATTGATGGCTATTCTCGGTTACATCGGCGATGACGCGGCATCAGGGCTTGTGGGCTGTCTGTCGATCATATCTCTTCTTGAATTGAGCTTCCTCCTATACTACCCGAGGTATCGACAGCCCCTTTTGCTCCTCTCATTACTGCCGAAGGAACCATTAAATTATCGATCTTATCACATCCGGCTTTTTCTTCCTGAATTTCGGCTTTCATGCAATTTATTATATATTATCTTTGGCTTCCTTTATGTTTAGCCTAGTTTGGCCAACTTTTTTACATTTTTTTCTAAGCACCAAGTCCTGTCTGACGACCTTTATCGTTTATACTTTCATGCTTCATTCACGTTTCACTTCCGAGATACGCGCGACGAATCGTCTTTCGACCCTCATTTTCAGACATGCTTATAGATATAGTTATAGTTATAATATATACTTGTGCTAGAAGAACTTCTACGCCGACTTGCTCTCAGTTGTATTTAGTAAACCTAAAAAAGACGTAGATTTTTTTAAATTTAATTTTTTTTTTTAGAAAAATTTTTGATCATTTTTTTGCGCTGAGCAAAATTATTTTTAATAATATATTTAAAAGAGTTACTGTTCTCAAAAATAATACCATCATCATCAGATCCTTGGAGGAAAGAAAACATCTTTTATTTGGTTAGGACTCGGATGAATAATAAATAATTACCATATTGAGGATGAGGATGAGGATATATATATAATAAGTTTGTCAAAATTAAAATGCCAGTGATGTTCCATGATGAGTGGTGCTTGAGAGTATAAGAAAAATGTGTAGGAGTTAAAGAATCCCTTTGACGGTTTAACAATATGCAAAGTCGAGATAAAAAAATGTTATATTAGACATCTAGATTTTTAGAACTGTAGACTGACGCAGCGGGGCGCTCTTTCGGTCCTCTTGGTCCTCTTGGTCCTGGCTGGCGTCGTCGGTAGTTATTGACTCAAACAACACGTCCGCCATATAATATTAAATACATATACATCTACGCATAACAAGATATGCCTCCATCACAAATAATTACGTACATTTGGTTCTAATTTGTAATTATCATTATAATTTATATATAAGATTTATAAGCGAAATAATTTTTGTTAAAATTTTAGGCTGCATTCGAAAATGCTCTGTCTCTAGGTACATAATTAAGAAATGACTTTGTATCTTGTAAACTATTGACATTTTTAAAGATATAAGCTCACCCCGACATTACACTCATCGAGACCTTTCATTTGAGTACCCACATCAATTTTTCATATATTTTATAAATTTATATATTTCATAAATACCATATATATAAAATATATGAAAATGCATGTGGGTACTCAAATGAAAGCTCTTGATGAGTGTAACATCGGGATGAGTTTATATCATCAAAAACGTCAATATCTAAAAAATTACAGTGCAATTTAATAAAAGTTATTGTTTAATAAAGCAAAATTTTATTTATTGTTCACAAGTCACGGCAGTCACATAGTGACTGCAAGGTTGCTAGTAATTATTTATTAAAAGATCAAAATTTAACAATAGAGATTGTAATTTGATAAATCTCTTGATTTTTATTAATTTTTCGAATCAATAAGCCAATAACAATAATTCATACCTACTGCGAATCATTTAACTGATCCTGAGCATGAATATAATAGAAGTCGTGTGATTATAGTCATAGTTATCTGAAAATGACGTGGTCGAGTGCCCGAAATACCGGGAATCCGATGTAGAGGCAGAGATAGAGGCTGAGGCCATTATACAACCGTATGTGGGTTTAGTTTTATTTTTATTCAAAGGATCAGCAGACCCAAATGAGCCAAGCTTACGCGTTAATCGTACATGTTGTTCGTACTCACGTTTCGTTTATCTATTATTAATTGATGTCATTACCAAACTAAAAGCCCGACAAATTCGAGTACTCAAAACTTTGATAATGCTCTTTATTCTTATTTCATTTTTTTCTGCAAAAGATGTGTAATGACTTTGATAACATTTCGGTCGATCAATTTGTAAAAGTTGGATGTACAAAGAGAAAGGTCTGAGACTTATAATATTTATAAATGACGATCGAATAATATAATAGATTATTATTCGAACAACGTATTTGGAAATTGTTATATTGGAAAAGAATTTTTTGTCGGAAAAGTAAGAAGGCATTCTTGCCCTCTGTTTGTTACAGATTAGTTTTTTTATCGCTTGTGAGGTTTTTGTCATAGAAAATTCTCACGTGCTCCCTTTTCGCCCTCTCTTCAATTTATCATCGTTGAAAGCTCGTGAAATTATTAATCAAAAAGTAATGTTTCATTTTTTGGATTTAATCTGCAATAAAACATTTTAGCTGAAATCGCGATTGATAGTTACTAGTTAGTTTATTAAAAAACGATTGACTTTTAATTAAATAACTTTGAAATTGAAAAACGGCTGGTTCAAAAATCTGTAACACAGTTTTATTTTTTTTTTTTTTTTTTATCAAGTATTATAATTTTTTAGCTATAAATAAACAAAATTTTGCATTATCAAATAATGACTTTTGTTAAATTGCACTGTACTTTTTTAACTATTGACATTTTTAAAGATATAAGCTCATCTCGATGTTATACTCATCAAGAGCTTTCATTTGAGTACCCACATGCGTTTTTGATATATTTTTCATATATTCATATATATAATATATATTTTAATAATATAAGCTCATCCCGATGTTATATTTATCAAGAGCTTTCATTTGATTACCCACATGCATTTTTGATATATTTTTCATCTATACATATATATAATATATATAAATATATAAAATATATGAAAAATTGATGTGGGTACTTAAATGAAAGATCTCGATGAGTGTAACATCCGGATGAGCTTATATCTTTAAAAATGTCAATAGTTCACAAGATACAAGGTAATTTCTTAATTATGTATCTAGAGATAGAGTATTTTTGAATGCAGCCTAAATACTTATAATCATAAATTGACTATTGATGAGAATGATATGAAACCATGAAAATACACAATTCCAGGTCAAGACCTTTTTAATAATAACAAATTTAACCATAAAAACCCATTTTATCATATAAATACACTGACCCCAAAATTTTGCTTGTTCCCTTAATAATATAGATTAAATAGTGCTTTGAAAAAAGTATTTAATAATAAATTTTCATAAAAAGTACCATCATTTAGTTCAAAAATTATTAATCATTCATTTAAAAAAATTATAATAATTTTCGGTAATTAAAATTCCAAAATTATACCTACCAAATTACAACTCACAGATCCAATAGCTCAAAAGCACCGACAGGAACTCCTAATAACTGTTTTTGAGCCTAAAGAGCTTGATAACTTAAAGAGCGGGGCATATTTTCCGAGCCAACTATTGGAGACTTAAAATTCCTAAAAAATTTTCGTTAAAAACAGAAGAAACGGTCAAAAACCCTTGAAGCTATCGGCAGCGCAGGAAAGAAAGCAGCCTCGACCGAAAATTGTTTGCCCGATGAAAACAAATTCGACTAGATTGAAGATTTGAGTGCAGAAAGTAAACAGGAAGGAAAAGTGAAAGCTTCGCTGTAGGTAGACCCAACAAAATTCGTCTCAATATTTGGACTGGGCGACAAAAAAAACGTTAACGAAGCATACCATTAGCTTAAAGGATTTTTCGACTGTACCACGAAGCGGATTTTTACTTCTTCATCCCATTAAATAGTATGTTCAGCGGACTAGTTGAACAGTTGGCCAGATTGGACGCACCCCTGGAGGCTCTGGAGCAGACAACTTAGCGGCATCTTTGAGTGATTATTGCCATGAACAAGCCATATCAGGCATCACTAGATATGGATCCCTGTGTAGTCCCACTAGAGAGGTCCCAGACTCGGATTCGGCATCGGCTGAGGAATTACGTCGGACCTCACGGATAGAAAGACAAGGATCGCCTGTGAGACACAATACAAAAGACAACTAACGCTGAAAGACTTACCAGACACGGTAGATGTTACCGATTGTACCTGCCCTGTTATGTTTGAGGAAAAGACCATCAAAGGAAATAGAAAAGCCAAACAGTAAATCTCGAATCTAAACGAATTATTCGCACCACTAAACCCCTGCGGATATCGCGGAAACTAACTTTTTAGTTAAAATTTATAATTTAAGGTCGTCCTCGTCCTTTCAGCCCGATATATTTCTTTTACTTTTAAACTTTATCTTAGATTTTTTATTTTCATTCTCCTTATTCTCGGTGTACTGTGTAATGATGTTAGTTACGCACTTCTTACTTCTGTTCTGTCTCGGGTGTTATTCGCTCACCCTGAATCATTTGAAATTTATACAGCTCTACTACGAAATTAAATGTTGAAAAACATTTCGGAGAAAATTTTGAAATCTCGGTAGTTGGTAGTCGATTCAATATAGAATACTTTAAATTTATCTCATGGTTTATTATACTATAATGAAGGTACGATTGGGTAACTTATTTTGTAACTTTGTTAGAAAATTTAATTTGCTTTTCTTCCGTAGATAATTGTTATAATTTTTTTTTAATGTATTCAACTGTGTTAGAAATAAATAACAAAATTAATATTTTTGGTCTTTATATTTGGGTAGAAAAATTTTTAATTTACAAGTTCTAATTTCAAAAAGTTTATACAGTAGAATCTTGATAATTTAAACAAGTCATTTGAGAATTTTCCTCCGACAAGATGCAAAAAAATTCCTGAACCAAATTAAATTAATTTAGACTAAGAAATATTTTTTATTTAAAAAAATTACAAATAAAAGTTTTTGTTCAAAATTTTTTAATAGAATTTTTGAATAAACATCAAGATTCTAGTGTAATTGCTGGCCTTCAGATGTTTTAAAACAAAAAAGCCTACTCTTAATCACAATTCGACAAAACAACAAATTACTAATCAATCGCACTTCAAAGCTTGAGTTTATTATTGCTCTTGCTGGCAGGAGTGCTGTCTTTTCTGCTGTTTAGTTCGACTTTATCCAAAATATCGAGTCTTAGGAACGACCTGGCAGTGGAAGCTCTGGTGGATCTATTTTTTTCGGAAGAGCTTCCGCTTGATTGGCTTCTGCTGCTTCTGCTAGTGCTCTGAGATATTCTTACCGGCTTAGTATCTTGCGATATGTTTATCGCAAATTTCAGTTCGGCTATTAGAGCTTCCTTCGGCGTGATCTGCGATCAACCATACATTGAGTATAAATCAAAAATAAATTTCAAGTCTTAAATTAAGCTCACCTTCTCTTCAACAGCAACCTTCCGTACATTCCACAAGAACTCAACAATCCCACAAATGAGTGACATGCTAACGCCAGCGATAAGTACCAAAAAAACACCACCCACGTGGGCAATTGTCAATTCACCACCGCCATCTGGCTCACTTTTCGAACAATTTTTACTGCCTCTCTCCCACCACTTTGTCTTCAATGCTCTCAAAGTCCCTTTTTCCTGGAGCTGGAGAATCGCTAAGCTCAATTTAGTTCGGTACGGCGAATCTGCAGTTGCGTAGTTGGAAACAAATTTTCAATTAAAATTTCCATATGATTTACATACATTAGATGCGGACTAATCAAGTAACCGGGAACTTACTTGGAGGTAGAGCTATTCCGTATCCTTTGTTGTCCAATAAAGAACCAACTTGCATTAAATTACAATCTCTCAGAACGTTGTACTCAATAGCTGTGGATTCCATTAAAAATGCATATAGATACTTTCCCTTGAGCACACGATCTACTCCCTCGTCATTGCTTCCCACAAATACGCTCGGCTTCGCGTCCATCATTGTTTCCCACATTTTTTGGTATGTTGTCACATTAGATCCCTATATCAATATTTTTTTTTTTTTTAATATTGTCTCAGAGTAAATTTACAAGTTTTCTTAAGATTTTTCTCAAAGAATACTTCAATTTAAAGCAATATTTATCAAAAAAAAATTTGTTTTAGATTAAAATCTATATTTTTTATTCAATTTTTGATATTAAAAAAAATTGGAGTGCAATCAATAATTTTCTAATTTTTAAAAGTTAAAAAACATTTTTCCAGCGATAAATCACAGCGTATTCTTTGATCAGAATTCCCAAAACAAATAAATAAAAAAAAAAAAATTACACTAAAGAACGCAGCAGTAGATCCTTTTCCCTGAGATCCATATTTAACTTTAGATTGTGCAGCAAGTTCCTCGACATTATTTATAGTGTTGCCCATTTTAACGGCCGTCAAAAAAGCCGCCAGATTCGCCGTGTATGACGATACCATAATTAAAACGAAGAACCACCATAAACCAGCGATCGCGCGTATTGATCCGGCTCTTAAATACATTTAAATAAATTACAATTAATTGAATCGAATGACATTAAATAAATAAATTAATTAACAATGCCAGAACATAAACAGAGTCTCTCTTTTCTCTCCTTCCATTTCATTTAAAATAAAAAATAATTAAACAGTGTTAATATATATGGGTTATTATAAAGATAAATATGTATAAAAAGTTGGATGGAATGTCTTTGGTCTCACCGCGTGCAAAAAATTTTTTCCACTTTGCGTACACATATATATGTATATTAATATATGTAAATAAGCTAATTGGCAAAAAGGGGTAAAGGTTGTATGCAAACGACCACGGAGGTTTGTTTTTTAGCGATTGTGTGTTGTGTGCCCGCAAGTTACGATTAACGACAATATAAACACCCGACATGTCACATGTGTGTACGTGTAAGAAGGGTAGCGGGGTGGACCGTGAGCGTGCGATATAAGAAACTTAGGGTCTTAAAAATATACATATATTATATCCGGCAAACACGCGTTAAGCCTTCACTGTCGTAGTCAACAGTAAAGAGCATGTATGAGTATGAGTATATATAAAGTAGTAGGTACAAAAGAATGGAAGTAAAGAGTTAGCGCCCGTGCCGAGGCGTTAACAAGTGGCGAGCCGCCGCCTCAAATATGTACGGTAAACACTACACTATATACAGCCTCGTTATAGCCTAATTGCCCTTTTAAAATAAATAAACCCCGGCGTTTATTTTTTTGCCCAAACCTAAGCTGGAATTATTAATAATAATTGTTCCTTGAATTAATTACCAAGATAGCTTTTCATTTTTGTCTAAATTTAATCATTTAATGACTTACGTTGGAGCAATGTCAGAACCCTGCTGCATAAGCGCTCCGACGGTGGTCCATAAACTGTTTTTCAAACTGAAAGAATTTTCTAGCTCCTCAGGCTCTGATACGCAGGGGTGCGGGTTCATCCACTCATTTGGTGACATTCTGTATGTAACAAAAATTGAAATGTAATTTAGTTATTTTTTATCCTTTTTTTTTTTTTATAAGAACAGCCTTGTCTCGATCTTTAAATTTTCTGTCTAGCCTTGATCTCGATCTCGAAAATTAATCAATTCATTATATTGTCTGGTATTGTCTTATCAAGATCTTGTTTTGGTTTTTTAATAAATTTAAGTTTTTTTTAGAATTAAATAAAAATAGTAAATACTTTGATCGTAATTGAAGCCTTACTTCTCTTAATTTAAGTTGAATTAGCATTTATTTAAAAAGTGTTTATGATATCGGTACCTGGCTTGGATGAAAAACATAACAGACACAGCAAGATAAGCTGTTACCACATAAATCCAAACATCCGTTGAAAATGGCGAGAGAAATGCAAAAAGTTCCGGTTTTTTATCTTCAGGTTTCAGGTACAATATACTGATACCGAGATTCATGAATGGCATTGTAAAGTCAACGACACTTTCACGAGCTTTTGTTATTGTAAAGTCGCAAACAGCCAAATCTGCTTCCTGTATTAAAATTTTCAGTAAATATGAGTTTAAAATATTTGAATCATTAAAATTACTGAAAACTAACTCGATTCAGCAATTGTCCAATCATGCCGTTCCACTGCTTGGTGTCTGGATCCTGAACGCCAAACTGTTTGTCAGGTACAAATTGAAATTTGAATTTGAACTTCATAATTTCGGACATTTCCGTAATTAAATCGATAGCGTATCCTTCGTATCTGCCATCATCGATCTGCATCCCTCGCGTCATGTCTTCAACTTTAATTATCCATGGGGCTCCCTACATTTTAATTAATATATATTGAACATTATATAAAAAAAAAAAAAAAAAAACAACCGAAAGAAATAATTTAATTACCACTCTGGTGGTTACTCTGAACTCTTTTTTCTCAATATCCAAGATAGCTGATTTCACCCGATCTTCTTCCGATCTCTTGAGTATAAATTCACCATCTATCCATTCTGCCGAGGAATTTGCTTTTTCCTCTCGAAACTCGTGAAACGAAACGTTAAATGTTCGTCCTCCGTTTTCATCGAATTTCATCAGACCTGTAGTGGGTCCTTCAGATGATAACTGAAACCAATTTATCATCAATTATCAATTATCATTAATATTTAATAAAAAAAGAATAATTCATGTGATCTGAAAGACAAACAGCGCTATCTCGGCGTTAAGATTATTCACTAGTCTAAGAAAACTACAGTATTGATCAGATCTTAGCCGAGCGTTCACCGTTGACGCTCGTCGGCAAGGCAGTTCACATAGTAAAATTACGAAAAGGGAATTAGATAAAATGAAGATAAAAGATAAAAATTAAATGAATACCTCGTGCATTAATTTTGTCAAATTATAACCCGCTTCATAAACCACTTCAGGATCGTCACAGGAAAGCGGTTCTGGTTTGATAATCAGCGGAAAATTCTCGTTGATCTTCAGACGCGCCTGAAGTACCTCTAATGCATCGCCGAAGAGGAGAACGGCGTCAAAGAGAACTGCGCTCTCTACCTAAATTACATAATAATATATGGTTGTTAATTTTTAATTATTATACATTCCTAATTCATGCAATTAACAGAAGATTTAACGATTTAATTCTTTGTAATTTAATTTTATTCATAACTATAACGCAACAATTTTTTCATTTGTTCCAGATTGTAAATTTTTAACTCTAATATGAAGAAAATTTATTTCGAACGCTGGAATAATTTTCAATCTCCTGTTTTTGACGGATCAAGATTAATCAGAATGAGTAAGTCTTGTATTTTACTTTTGTTATTATTAAATTTTATTTATTACATAACAATAATGGAAACAAAAATTGAAACTTGAGAGGGAAAAACTTCCACATTGATATTCGATTGTTTATCCGTGAAAACTTTTAAAATTTTTATTTATAGCCTGATATGGCCAATTTCCTAAGATAACCATATATATAGTTAATTTTAATGAATAACCAATATTCATAAGCAGTCGTATATGTTTTGATATAGTCATATATAGCAAATTTTCATAAATATCTGCTCCGATATGACTTAATGTGGTTTGATATGGCAAGATCAAGATATATATGGCCATATATGAAATTTTTTTCTCGGAAAGTTAACAAAAAATAGATGAATTTAATAATTTATCCATTGATCAACTTCTAAATTAATAATTCATCTGTAAATTCATGATAAAATTAATAATGCTTGGTCTAATTGAGATAACGATGAGTTGTTACGTAAAGGGCATAAGTGATAATGGTTGAAGATGATTGTCTATGTACATGTGGAAGTAGCGCTCGAACTACCATGTAAGCAAGCAATTAAGTTATTACGTCGCTGGGAGTACTTAAGGGCTTAGTAATCACCTTATAATATAATAGGATAATTGTGTGCATCAATAACTAATAAATTTAGATGCTGCGCGTGCAAAGTAGGTTTTACTGTCAATCAATACTATCTTTGAGCCAAGTAAGCGACTAAAAACAATTCGATAATTGAGAATTAAAAAAGAGCAATTAAAAAGTTTTAATTACCGTTAAAAGATCATGCTGGTTTTGTTTAATTATTTGAATCGTGGTGACATTTGCTTCCGATTTATTGAGCCACGTTCTCATACTGTCACCTGGTACGTGCTGAAGAATTTAATGACACACACGTTTAACAATGCTTTGATGTAATTATGTACTTCATAATTCAGTAATTATTATAATTATGGTATTAAAATAATTACCAGCGCGGTGATGAAATAATTGTAGTAGTCGCGGAGTAATTTAACTTCATGCATTTGCTTAACGATCGTTTCTAGGTTCTCCGGCTCCGCGTCGATAATTACATTAAAGTCCGACGATTTAGCGACTTCTTTTAGCAGCGGTCGATAGTTTGGTTCATTTGAGTGCTTCGCGTAAGTTGGCTTCAATTGGCGGATTGTCACTGGCGCGTCTTTGGGCCCATGCTGCCATAAAATTTTTTGCAGCCGAGATAGTGCGTCGTCTTTTTCGTATAAAATCGTGAATTGCCGCCAGCTCATCGACTCCATCATTTTAGCTAATGCCTGGAAAATTTATTGGATAGTAAAATCATTGTTTTATTGCTTCAAATTTTGTACAGTACAACCTCGACTTGAAAAAAAAATTATATTAATAATGTAAACGATAATTTTTGAAAAAAACAAATGGAGGCCGTTTATGTCGCAATAATTGTCACATTGAAATATTTAAATGGGTTATAAAAACATTAAAAAGCTTCGGACAAATTGATACCGCGATAACATTAAATTTAACAATTGATATATAAATAATAATAATAATAATTATAACAACAAGTAAAAGAATTTATTAATCAAAATGTCCATGAGTGTAATTATAAACCAGATGAGATTCCCTGAATAATGCTTTTGTTGATGAATTTAATCCTTTTTAATGTATGCTGTCATTGAAATTCGATTTCAGTTCTTCATGGCTAGAGTATCATTCTTTTGGATATTAGTAATTTGATTTTAGTAATTAATTTTTGCGAAAATCGAGAATTCAAAGAGGTTAAATTTTTGGAGTTGTTTAATTTTGCAGTCACTGGTTTTTTTTTTTTTTTTTTTTTAATTGAATTTTTTTGATTGAATCAAAAATAAATTTATCAATTAATTTCAAAGCTTTTAATATCAACAAAAATTTTCTGTCGATTAAAAATCATGAAAAACTGCAATTTCTATTATTTTTTTATACGTACAAATAAAAATAAATAAAAAAAAATTATCTTAAAAAATGCCAATTTTTTTATTTTTAAAAATATTTTATACTGAACTTTAAATCCCATAAAAACAATGCTAATACACCATAAAAGCTAAAAGGTATCCCAATCTAAATTAAAATCTAGAAAACAAACTTCATCGGTTAAAAAAAACCACTTCACCCATTACACGGGTCGATAAAAAGTTTCAATTTCATTCCATATGAATTTTCTTCGTCATAAAACAGACTCATGCAGTTTTCCATGGTATAGCTATCTAATGAAATTCAAACGCGTCGATGTGTGTAAATGATCAATTTCGAAAAGTTGAGAGTAAAGTCTTTACTTACACTAGATTTCATACTACACAATTTTATATCGAGGTTGTACTGGTACATGATAAAAAGTATAGTAAAGTTTATGATAAATTGATAATGAATAGCACATTACATCGGAAATTTTGTCGCTGTCGGGATAAGCGCGAATGGTGCTGTGAGAAGCTTTAATATCGTCCATACGCCGGAATGAATACTCAATATGAGGAATCTGAAATTTGGATGCGATGCTCGAGACAATATTACGTGTATGAGGATTACCAGGGCCGAATATCGCAGCAACACCTTCCGCTACAAGGCTGCAAGCTATAAAAATGTCATTTCACAGTAGCGCATGTTATACATAAATTCATAAATTCACAAATTCATAGGTGGATGTTTATATACATAGATATATCCAATGAAAAAGTTGTTTAAACTAGTATAGAGTTAGAGTATAGAGCAAAAATTGGCTTAAGCGTATCACTATTTATGAGTTTGTGCTATACTGAACCTTCGAGCGATGTCTTGAAGCTGTCGGTGCTTGAGTTTATCCATTTTGTCTTCAGTTCAAGCTTAAAAATTGGCACATCCCTGTTATTTATAATCACGAGTGCTTTTTGTATAGCATCTAGATTCGCTTCCTCGCCGTCGTGGAAAATAGCTCCTGTTACATCAAATTTTAAATATTTAATTATTATTATTATTATTATTATTATTATTATTATTATTATTATTATTATTATTATTATGAGTATAGTTATTCTTATTATAGTAAAATGAAATACACCAATCATATTTTCTCTTTTAATTATTTACAGGGTATTATTCATATTCATATTCATCCGTAAATTAAAATGAAGAGCACTTCAATATTTTAATTTCAAATTAAATATTGTAGCTCTTTGTATTAATTGGAATTTAATACGCAAGTGCTTATATTCAAAAATAATTAACGCTTTCAAGCGTTGAATTTGTTAATTTATAACCGTATTTATTCAATATTAAATTACCTTCTCCTCGGCATGATTATTGATAATTAAATTGGGTACTTTGAATATTTTAATACATTTCGTTTTATACAATTTTAATTATTATCTTTATTTCAATGTTTCCGAATACAAAAAGTATTTATTAATTATTAGTGTCTGCTTGACCTATCTGATAATTTTTTCCGCTAATTATTGACACAAATTTAACAAAATATCACTGCATTAAAACTCCCAGATATATTTGGACAGCCATTGTAATTATAAATACAATACAATTAAATTTTTTAATTAAACATCCAATAAAAATAAATTTTTTAACAATGTAAATTTCGAGCGAGAAATAAAAAACTCATTATAACTTTTCTAAAAAATTAAACATCTTTCACAAAAGTACTATACGCAAAAAGCGTAAACCGTACTTGGCAATAATCTCGCTCAAAATAACAGAAGTAAATGACAAAATACTTAACAACAGCGTCGCTAAAAGCATATTACTCGCGGTTTGATGCCCGCGTCAGTAGTTTCCCCAGAGTACATCGTTTGTGTGAATGTCGTACCAAAGCGAAGTCGCTAAACTCCAGGACTAAATAGAGAAGAGATGAGAGAGAAAGGGAGCTTAGTCTTGGATCTTATTCCAAGTCTGCATCATATTCCAAGTAGTCTTCTATGTAGTAAATAGTACATATCTACTGCCTAGTACATCGTACACTTGGATCCATCAGTTGTCTGTGTAATGTAGTCTGCCTTGACAATGAGCCGCGTGTGTGCAGACTCGACAGCATAGTAATCCGAGAGCCCACACCCTCTTACTTCCATTCCGACTGTGTATATTCCGCCCACATGTACACACACACACACACACACACACACACACACACACACACACACACACACACACACACACACACACACACACACACACACACACACACACACACACACACACACACACACACACACACACACATAAATCTAAATGTACACCCACGTAAGTAAAACCAACAAACAGAGCAACTCAGCGGTAATGCACATGAAATGGTAAATTTTGGTCTATCCCGAAGCGATACAACTGAGATTTTGGTGTGCTAGCAAGTGCGAGTAGTACAGCCATATGTGAGTGGCTACATCCAAGTGCTACTACAAGTCCTATGAAGTACAGTTTGCAGTCAGTAGTTTGTAGTCAGTAGTCAGTAGTCGGTATCTGTAGTCCATGGGGAACAAAGTTGTGAGCGATTTGTCTGGGTTAAGCCAAGCAATTTCCGTAGCATGGACGATTAAGATTACATTGGTCTCGGTTAGTGTTTATCCTTTAGTAAAGGTACCACTCAGGAACAGAAATGGAAACAGAGATGTAGGTAACTAAACGCGTGGGTGATGATTGCACGTGTGTTATGCAGGCGCATTGTCAGCGTGTGTAATTCTACGTTGGGAACAACGTTCTGTGTTACGGATTGGGGTTTTGAGCCTGCACCATACCCGTTAGAGAGGAGAGTACGATTACACCTATATGTATATAGAGAGCAAGAGGCAAGGGCTTGGAGTGATCAACGGGCTTACGATCCGTGAATCGGGGTGATGCTCTACTCTCGGTGCATTTCGAAATCCTCTGGTTAATCGGATTCCCGTGTGGTGGATGGTGGTGGATGGCTCTGCACAGTCGAATGTCAATCGTCGGATTTATCGTCCGAGGAAATTTAAACCGCGATGGGTGTATCACGATGATAATTATTATCTTTGTCAAAAATTTTAAATCAAAAATTCAGAGTGGAATTTATATTGCGTGCTGGGTTGTGAGTTATGGGAGGATTGGATTTAAGATTTCAGTCGATTGTTTGTCACCGAGAAACACCGATGAAATACAATCGTGGATTTAGATTGAAGAATAAGAAAGTGCTGTTCAACTGGATAAATATTCCTGATATTGACTGCTTAGTTGTAGTGAGTGAGCTTGAGATGGAATAAATAAAAGCTTTGTTTTGTGACTTGAGACGAGGATATTTTTTTTTTTAAGGATAACGTATGTTGCATTGAGATTATAGTTTATTTTTTTTTGGCGAAATAAATTTAGATTTTAGTAGATGATTTAATGTAAAACTAATTTAATTATTTTTGCATTCCCTACAAGGTTTTTAGACCAAAGAGTTGATTCGTAAATTATTAATAAGGGCACAAACAGTACTTCTGCCCTTTAGAAAAGCGTCGATAGGTACAACAAAAATATGCAATAAAACGAAATATTTAAAAACTCTGAAAGTTTACAACATAACTTGAGTTTAACTTTAGCTGTTGGATTATAGGAAAAGAGGACCGAAAGCTTTGACCACCGAAACGCGTAAATTCTCAGGGCATTGACCACTTGAATACCCATTCTTTACGCTTAACTTTATTAAGCCAAAAAATAAAATTCTATACAAGTTAGCTCGGAAATGCCGAGGCAAAGTATAAGTTTGAAGTCTATCCGTGGTTAGAAATCAGAGTCCAGGGTGTAGAGGGTGAGTCTCCATTATACTGCATGGCCGTTTCTCCATTTTCCAGGTCAAGAGGTTCTTACTCGCTCATTTTCGCTCCTTTACTTAGCTCGGTACTCTCTATGAGCACAGCCATACTCAACACGACTACTCGCTCCTGAGCTTCACAGAAAAGACTATATCCTACTGCAGACTACTACTAAACTAGACTACTGGGTTGGGTTTAAAACTATATTCTGGTCCGCATCTCCCGTAATCCTCTTTATTCGATCCTCTCTCTACTCGAGCCCAGGACTTGCGCATTTATTCTTATAATATTCATTCATATTTTTATGTCTTCAAGTCTGAGAAAGTTTTATCAATCGGAGGAAAGTCTTAATCCTCTATCCATAAAAAAATCTCAACCCTCTCAAATATCCGCTCAACCAGAGACTCAGTAATAAGCGAAGAAGCCCACCAGCTAAGCGACTCCGGCTGAGAAATGAATAAAAGTAGAGTAACATTGGAAGGAGGGAAAAAGAATAATAAAATAAAATAGAGCTCAACTAAGAACGGTTAATTTTTCACTACTTATTTTATAAAATAAAATAAAAGTAAAACCTGTTGATTACACAGATGTTAACCGCCCGCCGTTAAACGTTTAGCCTTGTTTGAGGTGGACAACCATTAGCATTGGCGTCTTAAATCCCGGAAAATTCCTTCCGCATTTTAATCTTAGTTTAGCTTTACTTAGAAGTTATCGGTGTTATGTGAAGTGACAGTGTATCGATCTTATCTTGGTACTTTTCTTTTAGCATGTCACCAACTAAAACTTTTCTGGTCTCTTCGCATCACCGGTGGCTGGCTACTCCTATCCTTGCTGTTTCTCAGATAGATAAGACACTCGACGGGTTATCCATACAGATGGACGACAACTCTGATAAATCGATTATCAATTGACCGTGTGGCAGCGTATAAAAAATGAAAACGAACTTGTCGATTTATTATACTTTGATTTTATTATTTAAACTGGTTTTTATTTATTTGTAAGTGGTGAGTAATATCAGTTCGGATAGTGATTTATTGCTGTTATACTTGATATTTTTGATTAAAAATTTAAACTAGAAGGAAAAATTTGTCGAGAATTTATTTTTGTAAAGTAGAAAAAGAAAAATAAGGATAAATTTTGATGTTTTCTTTAAACAAAGCTTTAATTAAATAATTTTTTTACAATCTTTGACCCTTAAAAATTCTTCAAATATTCTGTTTATTATTTTCAATAGAATTCCTCAAATTAATTCACTCGCATTTGATCAAATATTTACTAAATTGAAGTTAACAATTTACAAACCAGCTAGATTAAACAAATATTCGCTAAACCTTTGAAGAACCTTGTTGGAATTAACAACTATTAATTAATAATACTTGTCTCAAAAAATTACAACAAACATCTCGAAAAATAGCGTGCGAAACTTCGTCAAACATTTATCCCAAGAATCCCACAGCAAAGGCAAAAGCAAACAAGAAACTCCATCCATCAATAGAATAATTGTTAATAAGGATCACATTCTATCAGGTTGGTTTGCCAAGTAAAGCAAAGTGGAATACCAAATTAGATGGCGTATGCCGTGTGTAGTATAGTATATTAGCCGGTATCCTTGACACATCTCAAGGGAGAGATGTTAGCCAATTTGCCTGTTTCTCTTGAGTAAATTCTCCACACTATCATGCACATTGTCTCTTGGAAGCTGCACCCTTACCTAGACCTACAACCACCCACTTGAATATGTATTTATGCGCGTATTAATACAATATATAAACAAGCATTAATTAACACTAAACATTTCAAAATAACTGTTTCGTTTTCTGATAAGAATCTACTTGGAATTCATTTCTAGGATTAATATTTGATTACTCTTCAAGAGATTCGGTAATTATTTGAGTGGCTCTAGATCAAAGACAGCGTCTTCTTGATCCCACTTTAATTTCGTGATAGTGATAGCCAATTTCTAAAATAGCTCAAGCTGCAAATGGAGCATGTAATCTTGCTGCCGTACTTATCATCTGCTGATTGAAAAATAAAGTACCATCACATCCTTGATCCTTATCAGAGTTTCCAATCCGCGGAGTTTTCCATCAAGAGATTAGCAATTATCTGGCCAGCGGCAAATTGAAACTCTGTTTAATTTTTTATAGTGCTCTTAAAAGGTGAATTATGATTTAGGTATGAAG